GCGTGTACCAAGTAGGTTCCCAGTGCGCGTGTACCAAGTAGGTTCCTATAGTGCGCGTGTACCAAGTAGGTTCCTGTAGTGCGCGTGTACCAAGTAGGTTCCTATAGTGCGCGTGTACCAAGTAGGTTCCTATAGTGCGCGTGTACCAAGTAGGTTCCCAGTGCGCGTGTACCAAGTAGGTTCCCAGTGCGCGTGTACAAGTAGGTTCCCAGTGCGCGTGTACCAAGTAGGTTCCCAGTGCGCGTGTACCAAGTAGGTTCCTGTAGTGCGCGTGTACCAAGTAGGTTCCCAGTGCGCGTGTACCAAGTAGGTTCCCAGTGCGCGTGTACCAAGTAGGTTCCTGTAGTGCGCGTGTACCAAGTAGGTTCCTTTGGTGCGCGTGTACCAAGTAGGTTCCCAGTGCGTGTGTACCAAGTAGGTTATAATGGGCCGTAATGGGATGTCCCCAGATCTTTGTTCGGCGGTAGCGAGAACTAAGATCTGATTTTAATGAGAGTGGACCTGACTCAACTGGGGATCGGGTGGTGATGGCATTTCTAGTGGTGTGTCATTGTAAATTCATGTGGACTGTAGTATGGCAAGTCTGTGATGAAGAACTGAAACAAATATATCTGATACAGCCCAGGCAAGTGGGCAAGTCTAGATTACTGCAGTATCTGAAAATCAAAAGAGTCTCTGGGCTCCTTTTTATCATACATTTTTAAGATAATTTAACAAAAGCAAATTCTGTAAAATATGCCCATTTCGGAGATTAAATGCAAGTCTATAATATGGCGCGAGACCAAACATATTCCCGCAGATCGTCAAGCATCAGAATGGCTTCGTTTGAATACTCAACTCACGAAACAAGGATCCATAGCGTAAAATAAATATCATATTTTTCTCTCTGAAGATACCCATTGTTCAACCATTCAAATCGCTTCCGAGTGTTACAGTCGAAGCAGGAGTGAAATAAATACAATTGCGAACGGCAACATTATTTATAACCGACGTCGTTTGTCGATGAGCATGAGACCTGGTATTGCATTCTGACTTCCGCCATGTTTTACCCCCGGCAGCTGAGTTGGCCCAGGAAGGGGAGGTCACTCTGCACACAGTACAACGGCATCAATCCATGTATTTATTTATTACTTTTCTGAGCCTGACTAACGACAACATGAGAAGGATGATCATACAATCACACCCATTGATGGTAGCCTACATCAACAAACAAGAAATGGTTATTCGACCATGCACCATTCGAAATGCACTAGAGACGGGTATCACAGGCGATATTGCATGCATCATATCAACAGGTGGAGGTGTACATGACGTCACAATGAACAGGGTTCGCAACGGCAAATCCAATTGTCAACTGTACATGGATTATTTTATTACCGGCAGTTTACTTTGAGGCACCAAGAATCGTCGGCATTTTGTTGTCGTGTTGCTGTTGCCATGTTGCTGTTGTCGTGTTGCTGTTGCTGAATACCCGTGGTCTCAGACATGTTGTCTTGTCAGCGGTTGTACTCCCGGACTTCCATCATGTGTCAAGTACCGACCATCTTCCACGTGAATCACCAGCCCTTGTCTTGCACAAGTCTCTTAGGCAATACTGTATTTATAAGTTTAAATAATAATTTCAAGATTATGTAAAAAATAAGAACAAGTTGTCCTATAAGAGAGGCCTTTAATTAGTCCTTAAAGTCCTCAGATCTACTTTCAACATATCTAGACTTGCGTATTAGGAGGATACAACAACTACACATCCATGGACTTTTCTTTCAGTACAGCCTTGGAGCATGGCTACACCAGCCCGGGCGGGTATGTTGGCGGCGAACACGGGCAAAGACGTACAAATTTCATTTCTGAAAGTGCACAGCTCTGTGAACGACTATTCTACAGGATCCCTGGACGTGATGAACAAAGACATACATATAGCCGACTCTACGATCATAGCGGCGAGATTTAATCCCGGCGCCATGACGTCAAATAATGCAACTTCCTCACTTCAAAACGACGCCGTCTTTGATACGCCTGGCCTATGTGATTATATTTGCGTTTACGGACCTAAAACAGGGTGAACGAGGCGGCCGAATATTCCACCGACGTAATCTAGTTGTCTGCTTACACACGGGTCCATTCCCGCGTTAACGTTGTGTCTATATTTGGACGTCAAAACTCAACTTGGGGACATTTTTCATGGCGCATAGAGAGCGCGGTAAAAGGTAAACGGCTTCCATCAAGCCGATGTGACGAGATAAAGCAATTACCCGTTGTTCTGCATTACCGCTAGGGGGCGCTGTCTTGCAACAATTACTGTGTAATTTTGGGGGAAGGAAATGACAATCTGACGCATGTACGGGTAATTACCCTTTACGACATTTTAATCCAACTCAGCGAGCATCCAATAGCTTAACATTCCTTGTCGGGTCTATTGGGACAAGGGTGGAAGAATGGTGGCTCTTACATCGAATATACGTTGCTCCAGCGCTGTTGGCGGATATTATTGCCGTCAGTTTGTGGATCATAGAATCAAAACGACTTGATGTTCTTTAATGCAAAAGCATTGAGAGAAGAAAGTTGGAGATCTTCAGTTAATTTTGAAATTTTAATCACGCGCAAATTTAGCATGGACATTTCAATTACACCCTGTCACACGCGCGTCTGCGCTAAACACTACCGACATGCACCGCGGCATTGGTCCGCTGTTCGGTCACGTGACAGCGTTTTCCGAGAGCCTTACTTTCTTGGTTTGTAATTTGTAACAAGCGAAGTGGAATGTGAATTAATCAACTGTGTTGATGAAACACTACAGATATAAACTTTTACCTTTCACCAAACAAAGTTTACATGAATGTTGAAAGCAAATATTGCCATGGCAACACGGGACCATTACGCAGGTCTAAGAGTACTGCTCTTTTGTATTCATGTGCTTTTAATAATCCATATCTGTAAACGCAAGTGCTAGAGTGATAAACATTTCGTTGTTTACATTGGAGACGCAAATAATTACTGATGTGGCATGAAGCCAGTTTCATCAATCATCAAAGTAGAGTTTCACATTTTGTCTCTCTCACAAGTGTTGTTCTGTCTGTTCCTGTGGGGTGGGGATTCGCGAGAGGAAAATATGGCAGGGGCCATAAGGGTCCCTGATGGTCGTAAAGTAGACTTGCACAAGTCTCTATCAAGCAATAATTATTAGGTTAAATCATAATTTCTAAATTATGTAAATATGTTGTCCCAATAAGAGACTGGAGTCCTTAGATATTAAGGGGATGGAATAACAACACGTCCATGGACTTTTCTTTCAGTACAGCCTTGGAGCAAGGCTAGTGGTTAAGGGGTAATGGTTTTGAGGCGGGTGGGTTGCCTTTGTTTATTGTTTTATTTCCCGTTATTTCTTCACACTGCACACTAAACAACCGGTGATAGGGACTGTCATTTGCCCCTCCCACCCTGTGAACATAACATCATCCATCATAAGATAGAGACTGTAGCATGTGAACATAACCTCATCCATCATAAGATAGAGACTGTAGCATGTGAACATAACCTCATCCATCATAAGATAGAGACTGTAGCATGTGAACATAACCTCATCCATCATAAGATAGAGACTGTAGCATGTGAACATAACCTCATCCATCATAAGATAGAGACTGTAGTATGTGAACATAACCTCATCCATCATAAGATAGGGAGTGTAGTATGTGAACATAACCTCATCCATCATAAGATAGGGAGTGTAGTATGTGAACATAACCTCATCCATCATAAGATAGGGAGTGTAGTACGTGAACATGACGTCATCTATCATAAGATAGGGAGTGTAGTATGTGAACATGACGTCATCTATCATAAGATAGGGAGTGTAGTATGTGAACATAACCTCATCCATCATAAGATAGAGACTGTAGTATGTGAACATAACCTCATCCATCATAAGATAGGGAGTGTAGCATGTGAACATAACCTCATCCATCATAAGATAGAGACTGTAGCATGTGAACATAACCTCATCCATCATAAGATAGAGACTGTAGTATGTGAACATAACCTCATCCATCATAAGATAGGGAGTGTAGTATGTGAACATAACCTCATCCATCATAAGATAGAGACTGTAGTATGTGAACATAACCTCATCCATCATAAGATAGGGAGTGTAGTATGTGAACATAACCTCATCCATCATAAGATAGGGAGTGTAGTATGTGAACATAACCTCATCCATCATAAGATAGGGAGTGTAGTATGTGAACATGACGTCATCTATCATAAGAGAGGGAGTGTAGTATGTGAACATGACGTCATCTATCATAAGATAGGGAGTGTAGTATGTGAACATGACGTCATCTATCATAAGAGAGGGAGTGTAGTATGTGAACATGACGTCATCCATCATAAGATAGAGACTGTAGTATGTGAACATAACCTCATCCATCATAAGATAGGGAGTGTAGTATGTGAACATAACCTCATCCATCATAAGATAGGGAGTGTAGTATGTGAACATAACCTCATCCATCATAAGATAGGGAGTGTAGTATGTGAACATGACGTCATCTTTCATAAGATAGGGAGTGTAGTATGTGAACATGACGTCATCTATCATAAGATAGGGAGTGTAGTATGTGAACATAACCTCATCCATCATAAGATAGGGAGTGTAGTATGTGAACATGACGTCATCCATCATAAGATAGGGAGTGTAGTATGTGAACATGACCTCATCCATCATAAGATAAGCTGTAGTATGTGAACATAACATCATCCATCATAAGATAGGGAGTGTAGTATTTGAACATAACATCATCCATCATAAGATAAGCTGTAGCATGTGAACATAACATCATCCATCATAAGATAGGGAGTGTAGTATGTGAACATAACCTCATCCATCATAAGATAGAGACTGTAGTATGTGAACATAACATCATCCATCATAAGATAAGCTGTAGCATGTGAACATAACATCATCCATCATAAGATAGGGAGTGTAGTATTTGAACATAACATCATCCATCATAAGATAAGCTGTAGCATGTGAACATAACATCATCCATCATAAGATAGGGAGTGAAGTATGTGAACATAACCTCATCCATCATAAGATAGAGACTGTAGCATGTGAACATAACATCATCCATCATAAGATAGAGACTGTAGTATGTGAACATAACCTCATCCATCATAAGATAGAGACTGTAGTATGTGAACATAACCTCATCAATCATAAGATAGAGACTGTAGTATGTGAACATAACCTCATCCATCATAAGATAGGGACTGTAGTATGTGAACATAACATCATCCATCATAAGATAGGGAGTGTAGTATGTGAACATAACCTCATCCATCATAAGATAGAGACTGTAGTATGTGAACATAACCTCATCCATCATAAGATAGGGACTGTAGTATGTGAACATAACATCATCCATCATAAGATAGGGACTGTAGTATGTGAACATAACATCATCCATCATAAGATAGAGACTGTAGTATGTGAACATAACATCATCCATCATAAGATAGGGACTGTAGTATGTGAACATAACATCATCCATCATAAGATAGAGACTGTAGTATGTGAACATGACATCATCCATCATAAGATAGGGACTGTAGTATGTGAACATAACATCCTCCATCATAAGATAGAGACTGTAGTATGTGAACATAACATCATCCATCATAAGATAGAGACTGTAGTATGTGAACATGACATCATCCATCATAAGATAGGGACTGTAGTATGTGAACATAACATCATCCATCATAAGATAGAGACTGTAGTATGTGAACATAACATCATCCATCATAAGATAGGGACTGTAGTATGTGAACATAACATCATCCATCATAAGATAGAGACTGTAGTATGTGAACATAACATCATCCATCATAAGATAGAGACTGTAGTATGTGAACATAACATCATCCATCATAAGATAGAGACTGTAGTATGTGAACATGACATCATCAATCATAAGATAGGGACTGTAGTATGTGAACATAACATCCTCCATCATAAGATAGAGACTGTAGTATGTGAACATAACATCATCCATCATAAGATAGAGACTGTAGTATGTGAACATGACATCATCCATCATAAGATAGGGAGTGTAGGATGTGAACATGACATCATCCATCATAAGATAGGGAGTGAAGTATTTGAACATAACCTCATCCATCATAAGATAAGCTGTAGCATGTGAACATAACATCCTCCATCATAAGATAGGGAGCGTAGTATTTGAACATAACATCATCCATCATAAGATAAGCTGTAGCATGTGAACATAACCTCATCCATCATAAGATAGGGAGTGTAGTATGTGAACATAACATCATCCGTCATAAGATAGGGACTGTAGTATGTGAACATAACATCATCCATCATAAGATAGGGAGTGTAGTATGTGAACACAACCTCATCCATCATAAGATAGGGACTGTAGCATGTGAACATGACATCATCAATCATAAGATAGGGACTGTAGCATGTGAACATAACCTCATCACTCATAAGAGAGGGTCTGTAGTACATGTACGTAAACATCACCCCATCGTAGCTTGCATCACTCTGGAGAGTGTATACTAGTATAACATATGGTGGTGTTAATGTTGTCGTAAGTGAATAAATTGAAAAAGGAGTTCAACTCAAGTCTAGAATGATTTGGCAAGTCTAGATTGCCTCAGCTCTAGAAATGAGGATTGTTCTGAGCTAAATTTGGATTTTATTTTGTTTATTTTGTAGATATATATTTTTAGATAAGATAACTTTATTTCTTGGACTAAATGTCAGTCTAGCCGGAAGCGTGAGGACTGGATGGAGGCCTGGATGGAGGCCTGGATGGAGGCCTGGATGGAGGCCTGGGTGGAGGCCTGGATGGAGGCCTGGATGGAGGCCTGGGTGGAGGCCTGGATGGAGGACTGGGTGGAGGCCTGGGTGGAGGCCTGGATGGAGGCCTGGGTGGAGGCCTGGGTGGAGGCCTGGATGGAGGACTGGGTGGAGGCCTGGGTGGAGGCCTGGGTGGAGACCTGGGTGGAGGACTGGGTGGAGGACTGGATGGAGGCCTGGATGGAGGCCTGGGTGGAGGACTGGGTGGAGGCCTGGATGGAGGACTGGGTGGAGGCCTGGGTGGAGGCCTGGGTGGAGGACTGGGTGGAGGCCTGGATGGAGGCCTGGATGGAGGACTGGGTGGAGGCCTGGGTGGAGGCCTGGATGGAGGCCTGGATGGAGGCCTGGGTGGAGGCCTGGGTGGAGGCCTGGATGGAGGCCAGGGTTGAGGCCTGGGTGGAGGCCTGGGTGGAGGCCTGGATCGAGGACTGGGTGGAAGACTGGATGGAGGCCTGGATGGAGGGCTGGGTGGAGGCCTGGGTGGAGGCCTTCTGTCGCTTCCCACCCCCACCCACATTCACGGGTTACGGGGGTCACTGAAGGGGGTATACAAGTGCACACGTTGATCAATGACCTCACACCAGGCATCAGAATATCAATAATACAGCGACTGGCAGTTTGTTCAAATATTTTTGCAATTCCCTGCAGGTTAATGATAAGGAACGACTTGAGTCAATACCAACGCTAACTTGGCGTGATAATCTTTCAAAAAAGATCGAACTTTTCTGATAATCATCGATTTCTATGTTGTCCGCGTATCATGCCAAGATGAGGTACTGACACCTTATCGATCTGATTACCTGTATGGTGAGGCATCATTTTCATCGTCATCATTATCATCATCATCATCATCATCATCATCATCATCATTTCAGGAAGGGAGATGACTGTATGGGGGTGATGTTGGGGGAGGGTGGGGGAGAGTTGGGGCTGAGGAATAGCCAGGGCGTGACATCCCGACATCAGGATCCTCCTCCCCCATCTATATCATCTGGTCCCCTATATATTTGTCTGGCTGTAATTGCCTCTGCTTCCCGTGAATATACGCGGTGTTCCGGGTAATGAAGACTGATTATTCGCGGCACGTTCTGCTCCTCCTTCGGCGACTCTTGACTCTCGACCTTCCCCAGATAACCTATTGTTTCAGGGGGCCAGGTCTGTGTGTGCTGACCTGGTGAGGTATATGTTAACAATGCTATAACAACAACAATGCTATACCAACAACAATGCTATGCCAAAAACAATGCTATGCCAAAAACAATGATACACCAACATCAATGATATACCAACAACAATGCTATACCAACAACAATCATATACCAGCAACAATCATATACTAACAACAATGCTATACCAACAACAACAATATACCAGCAGCAATCATATACCAACAACAATCATTTTCCAACAACGATCATATACTAACAACAATACTTTAATTACAACAATGCTATGCCAACCGCAATCATATACCAACAACAATGCTATACTAACAACAACAATATACCAGCAGCAATCATATACCAACAACAATCATATTCCAACAACAACCATATACCAACAGCAATCATATACCAGCGACGATCATATACCAACAACAATAATATACCAACAACAATGATGTACCAACAACAACAATATACCAGCAGCAATCATATACCAACAACAATCATTTTCCAACAACGATCATATACTAACAACAATACTTTAATTACAACAATGCTATGCCAACCGCAATCATATACCAACAACAATGATATACCAACAACAATCATTTTCCAACAACGATCATATACAAACAACAATGCTATACCAACAACAATGATATGCCAACAACGATCATATACAAACAACAATGCTATACCAACAACAATAATATACCAACAACAATGATGTACCAACAACAATCATATACCAACATCAATCATATGCCAACAACAATCATATACCAACAACAATCATATTCCAACAACAACAATATACCAGCAGCAATCACATACCAACAACAATTATATACCAACAACAATCATTTTCCAACAACGATCATATACCAACAACAATGCTATACCAACAGAAATGATTTTCCATCAACAATCATGTACCAACAACAATGAAAACACTTTGGAAATGGATCCTAAAACGCGATACCACTGCTACCATTATCACTACTACTACTACTACTACTACTACTACTACTACTACTACTACTACTACCACTACTACTACTACTACTACTACCACAACAGCCACTACTACTACTACTATTACTACTACAGCTTCTACCACTGCTATCATTACTACTACTGCTACTACCACTACCCACTTCTCACAAACCGTAAAGATCCGGGTTACACTTAGAGGCGACTAACGGGATCGGGTTCTACTACTACTACTACTACTACTACTACTACTACTACTACTGCTACCATCACTGCTACTACTACTACCACTACAACTACTACTACTACAATTGGTCATCGACAACGCGTGCTTGTCGTCAGATGTGACTAACGGGATCGGATGCTACTACTACTACTACTACTACTATTACTACCATCACTACTACTACTACCACTACAACTACTACTACTACAATTGGTCATGGACAACGCATGCTTGTCGTCAGATGTGACTAACGGGATTGGATGCTACTACTTCTACTACTACTACTACTACTACTACTACTACTACTACCGTCACTGCTACTACTACTACCACTACAACTTCTACTACTACAATTGGTCATCGACAACGCATGCTTGTCGTCAGATGAGACTAACGGGATCGGGTGCTACTACTACTACTACTACTACTACTACTACTACTACTACTACTACTACCATTACTACCAGCGTGACATGCCATATACTCTCTTGTTAATGCCGGCTACGGATGAAATCTTCCCGAGGTGAGAGAGCTATAAAAGTCCAGTTTCCACCCTTGCCGAACTAGGCTTGTATTATGAGGGTATACTCAACAACAAAAGTTCCTGTGACACCAATATTTTTGTGTATTTTTGAAACAAGTAAAGTTTGGTTTTCAATTTTTTAGTACATGTATGGAATCAAGTCACAATCACGCAACTGCCACAGAAAAGCACGCATTCCATGCAAAAGTTGACTTAACGGGATGCCATATGCATTGTTTACCATCGTGCTGACAACAACCACTCGGAAAAACAACAAAATTACGCAATTATTCAACATTACGAAATGCCAAGCCTGTCCGAAAATGAGCGTCTGCGAGTCATCGGTATGCTTGAAGCAGGATCGAGTCAACATGATGTTGCAAGGCAATTTAACGTCCACAGAAACACCTTTTGGTGTTTATGGCAACGTTGGCAACAGACGAATGCAGTCAGAGATCATTCTCGGAGTGGCAGGCCACTCGTAACCAATAATCGACAAGACAACTGGATTCGAACAAGACACCTACGAAATGGATTCCAGCCAGCAACAGTGACTGCAAGAAGCATCCCTGGCCTTCGACGAATATCTTCACAAACCGTACGTTGTCGCCTCAGATGTGCAGGGATTGTCGCCAGAAGACCCGCCAGACGTCCCATTTTGACAGGAAACCACCGCCAAGCACGTCTACAGTGGTGCAGACAACGTCTACGCTGGACGGCCATGCAGTGGGGACAAGTTCTATTCACTGACGAGTCTCGTTTTCACCTCAGCCACAGCGATGGACGGTTTCGAGTGTACCGACGTCGAGGTGAACGTTACGTCAATCATTGTGTCATGGGAGAAGATCGGTTCGGAGGCGGCAGCGTTATGGTATGGGGTGGAATTACAGTAAGACCCGTTTGATAGTGGTAGAGGGAAATCTCAATGAACAGCGCTACCGCGACGAGATCATCGGCCCTGTTGTTCTACCATTTTTGCGTCGTCATGGCCCAGGCATTACCTTTCAACATGACAACGTCCGGCCCCATATTGCTCGACTTGTTCAGGATTCTCTTCAACAAAACAACGTGAATTTCATCCCCTTGCCGGCTCGCTCTCCTGATCTCTCAGCAATCGAGCACATGTGGGATGAGATGGATCGGTGCCTTCGACGTCAACCACGTGTTCCACAGACACTCCAGGAACTTCGAAACATGCTCCAGCAGATATGGACTTTGTGCGACGCCTGGTCCATTTCATGAGACGAAGATGTGTTGCTTGCATCGCAACCAGAGGTGGACACACACGCTATTGATTTGTAAATTGACATTTTGGCATGTTCATGTTTTTTTTATGAAATCACACATTTTCTGAAGTCAGTTTGGCAAATTAAACCATTTGAACACTTACAGGAGTCTTTTATCTGTTGCAAACCGAAATTGTTTCAGATTTGGTAAAAAACATCACTTTGCATTAAATCTTATTCAATGCCACAGGAACTTTTGTTGTTCAGTATATATTTTGGTTGGACTAACGAGTCTATGTATAGCCCAATCAAAGTCACGTAACGTCATCGACATCCGGTTCGAAAACTGCCGGACAGATTTCGGTCGATTGCAGAATTTGCAACATGTGTATCACCAACTCGGCGTCAACAGACATTTTCCAAATCTTTTCATGTTTTTTTAATCAAGGTGCTCACAAGATTTAAAACACTTCGCAAAGTAAGACACGTTTTATGACAATGTAGATTTCGATTATCGATCAGATCGTCTTGACTGGGCGTCGCCATTTTGGTTGAAGCAAATGCACGAGATATGAGAGGTGGAATCTGACTGGTCAATATGAGGGCCATAGAAGGGGCATAACTCGTTATAGCCACTGGTGGCGCTACGACTGAGCCCAGAAATTCTAGCCTAATTCGGTGAGGGTTGGAACTGGACTTTTACTGAAGAAATAAACGAGTGGGAGCTTTTTATCGTACCATAAGACACTGCAGGGAGAATAACCATGAGGGTGGTGGTGTGTGTGTGTGGGGGGGGGGGGGAGATATCTACATTATGTACAGCCTCATTAAGGATGTTGATAAACTATACAAGCTTTAAAAAATTAACCCCTATTTAAATAATGATGACTCCCTCAATAGAATCCGACCTCGGCAACGTCGGACAAGTCCATTTCATGCACAGGTGTGTTTTTCCCGCTTTTTCTCACAATCCTCACGTCGATTACATTACCTTTTCACCCAATACCGATTGTCATATCTCTCCCACTTTTGGATGCGATCGTTCGGCCATCGAGTTTATCTGCGTTGCCCTGCTACATCTATGGAGATGACTCACAAGACACTCCCCTCTCAAAACTAACGTCGTAAAACGTACCTCATCATACAGCGAGCGCATATCCGTATCTCGAGAAATGACGTCATGATAGAACAATGTTTTATCGTGAAATAAACCACGCTTCGTTCTTCATTGTTCTTTGTGATTTATCGCGGATCTATCTTATATAGTCAGTTAACTCCCTTGCCTCGCGAAGATGAGGGATGAAGACGACAAGGAGTACAGTCAGATAGCACGTTCACGCACCTGCACACAGGTATTCCCGCATGTGTGAGTAGATAGCCATGTGAGTGCGACCCGCGATTAGAGT